TATTGTTGACACTTTGGCTAAACACTGGACAACAACTAGAGGTGCTGAAATTGTGTCAATGGTGTCCACTCAACTCAGGGATAAGCAACAGAAGCATAACAAATTTCTCCAGTTTCTTGCTTTATCCAAGTGCCATGAGGAGTTGTGTTCCAGACAGAGTATGATCTCCTGTCAATGAGTTTTACATTTATATCAATCTCAAGTTTATTTTTTGTCTACCTTATATATGGACTGTGTCAAAGCATGTTACTGTTACGTTTGGCAACATAGATGAGATTTTCCATGTGCTACCCTTTGATCTTCTTATCGACACATATGTGAAGACATTGCATGGTTAAATTTTTAGTGTTTCAATATGGATAGGTATTGATCTGTGTTGGATGTGACTTTACTTATGATTGTTATGAGTATGATGCTGGCTTTAGTGTGATGTAAAATTAGCATCTTAATTTTCTTTTTGTGGTTGATGCAAAGTTTTGTTATCATAGTATCTAGCATACATCTGGACGGGTTAACCCGCTTGGGTGACTAGAGTATTAAGGCTCTCTTACAATGGAGTTAAATATTTATTTATACTGGGGTTGATTTAATTTTGAATCTCACTGTCAAAAGAAATAACGGGAAAAAGGCCTTGTTAGGTTTAACTTATTGCTTTCCGTTGGCAGGACATTCTTTGCAAACAATTTTGGAACATGGTGAAAAGCTTTCAGGAATGATTCAACTAAGGGAACTGCAAAACATGATTAGTCAGAGCCGTTCAACTGGGGTTGGTTCACCACATTCTCATTCAGAGATTAATATCTCAGGTGCTCTGTGGGATCTTATTCAATTAGTTGGTGAGAAAGCTCGCCGTAGTACTGTTCTTCTGATGGACAGAGATAATGCTGAAGTTTTCTACAGTAAGGTTTCTGATCTTGAAGAAGTGTTTTATTGCTTGGACAGACAGCTACAGTATGTAATTAGTGTAGACCAGCCATATGGGATGCAGATCCAGAGAGCATGTGAGCTCTCACATGCATGTGTTACGATTGTTCGCACTGCCATGCAATATAGAATTGAGCATAATATGTGGTATCCACCTCCTGAGGGCTTGACACCTTGGTATTCTCAACCTATTGTACGTAATGGGATGTGGAGCATTGCTTCTTTCATGCTTCAGCTGTCAAATGAAAAACTTAGACTTGATATGTCTGCAAAATCTGATGTGTATGCTCATCTAGAAGAACTGGCTGAAGTTTTACTTGAGGCTTATACTGGTGCTATCACAGCAAGAGTTGAACGAGGAGAAGAGCACAAAGGTCTGTCAAATGAATATTGGAACAGACGGGATGCCCTTCTGGACTCCCTCTATCAACAAGTCAAAGGTTCTGGTGCAGCTGACTATCAGGTCAAAAGTTTTTCTGCTCAAACTTTCATCTTGTTCTCACCGGTTGATTTTCATGCATTCTTAAATTTATTTATCTATTTTTTAACAGGACATGTATGAATCTGCTGAAGAAAAAAATGTAGAAATCCTTAAAAAGCTTTCCTCAAGTTTGCTGCCCATTGCAAAACGGCATGAAGGCTACAAAACCATGTGGAAAATATGTTGTGACATTAACGATTCAGAACTGCTTAGAAGTCTTATGGTATGGATATGGTTGTTTACTTTGGTATGCGTTCCATATTTTGTAATTCATTTCTGCATATGTTCTACTTCTATGGTGGTTCTACTTTGCTTGTGATGTCATATGTAGCAGGTGCTGTTTAAATTTTTCATTATTGATACTTTGTTAATGACAGTCATGCAATGATTTGAAAATTTTTGGTTAATTTTTTCTTAAAGCTCTACTAAATAGGTTCTGTTTGAACCACACCTTTTTTTTTTTTCTTTAATCAATGCCTGTTATTTTTTGTTTCATAAATATCATCTGTGATTTGGCATGCGATTAAAGATTTTCAGTACAGTTGTTTTATAAAAAATTTGTTACTTTTAACATATGATTTTGTTTTCTTGGTGGTTCACTTTCATTGAATATTCAACTGAAATTTAATACTAAATAATAGAGAAGGGAATGAAGATATGTAACCGTGGTATGATGTATAGGGAGATGCTAAATTTTCTCTACTGCAAAACTAATATTATGACATGATTTAAAATAGGACTTTTTTTTTCTGCCTTTTGTACAATGAATTAAGAACATGTAGATAAACTTGGTGTCTAGTTAATAGTTGTGGGTTTTTAATTGATGTTGTATATCATACTGTGTCGGAGTTTCTTTTCTTTCCCTTTTTTGTTTCATTTTTTCAGTCAACTTGTATACATGTCTGTTTTGTTAGAGGAGAGAAAATATGTTTGAAGCAGAGAAGAGGAAGCCCCTTACAACTTCTTAGATTTAGGTTTGAATCTCCTAAAGGAGTAAGATGGTGTTTCTTAATTTCCAAAGCAAAATGATCTGTTTTGGAGTCTGAGAAGCTTTCTCCTATTTCAATGGGATCTTCTTCTCGTTGAAGATTTTCCCCTGCGTTCTTATTGGAGTTGATTAAATAAGTTCCTTGTTTCAAAGTTTTCATATTGTCTTATCTACAGACTTCAATTTTTTTTTTTTTTTTTTTAATATAAATTTACGTTTTCTTTTGGATACTCTTCAAAAGTTGTTGAAATGTTTTGACTTTGGTGTTTCCTCATATTTTTTATGCTTCTGTTGTTGTGAGATAATTATATATGGTTTATTACACAGCATGAAAGCATGGGACCTACAGGAGGTTTCTGTCAATTTGTGTTTAAACAACTGTATGAGAAGAGGCAATTCTCTAAGCTTCTAAGGCTTGGAGAGGAGTTCCCAGAAGAGCTCTCTGTTTTTGTTAAGTATCATTGGGATCTCCTGTGGCTTCATGAAGTGTTTCTTCATCAGTTTTCTGCAGCTTCAGAAACTCTTCATATGATAGCTCTTTCTGAAGATGACGGCTCTCTTTCAGCAGCTGAAGATGATGTAGACACTGACTGTGTTGCTTCTGAACCAACATTGTCAGACAGAAGGCGTTTTTTGAATCTTTCGAAGATAGCTGCCATGGCAGGTATGACTACTCTTCACATGGCCTTGTATAGCCCTATTTAAATCTTATTTAATCTAAATCTTATTTTGACTGAAATCTGCTGTTATTTACCTAGTACAGAAGCTATATGCATTGTTTTCAATGAAACCCTAAAGCTATGTTGGCACCAGGTTTTGTAATTCAATAATAACCATAAATAAATCAAGCACAGTTCTACAATAATAGTAAAATGCTCAGGAAACAACTAAATCTCATACAATAATCCCAGATTGTTAAAAACATATCTTCATGGGTACAATTTAGTCCTAGGTGAGAGATCTTGTTAAAGATTGTACAATCCAATATATTTACTCTTTATTGTCCCATTTGCTTTGTTTTTCATTTGTAAGATGGCTCTCTATTCTTCAGCCCCTGCACTGGTGTTTTGATACAAAATATGTGTTTCTCTTGCTAATTCTTTTCTTTTGAGTGTATAACAGCAGGTAAAGATGCTGATTCTGTGACAAAAGTAAAACGCATTGAAGCTGATTCAAAAATTTTGAAACTGCAGGTGTGTTGTGTGTTCAGGGCAGCAAATGCAAATTTGATTTTCTTTTTTCTAGTTGGAAGCCCTTTTTTTTGTGTCTCCTACTGTTTTATGCTTTTATTAATAAATAAGCATGTTTTTAGTAGAATTAACTTGACCTTTAAGTTACAAAGTTGCTGTTGTCTGAAGTTGTTATCATGGCAACCAACTGGTTGAGGAGAGAGCATTAAAATACATTTTAAAGTTTTGACCAATACTCATATAAGTAGCTTTAGTCTATTTACTGTCAATTTCAACTTCTTCTTTCATCTCTTGTAGGAAGAAATCATAAAAGTTCTTCCTGCTGATGGACTCCTTCGTCCAGAAGAACTAATAGAGCTGTGCCTTAAAAGTGAAAACCCTGAGCTTGCATTGCAAGCGTTTGATGTGTTTGCCTGGACCAGTTCCTCATTTCGTAAGAGCCACAGAAACCTTTTGGAGGAGTGCTGGAAGAATGCTGCCAATCTCGATGATTGGGTGCAACTCTATCAAGTGTCAATAGCAGAAGGGTGGAGCGATGAGGAAACATTGCAACAACTGAGAGACACATTGCTGTTCCAGGCATCAAGTAGGTGTTATGGACCTGATGCAGAAACTATTGATGAAGGATTTGATGAAGTGTTGCCATTGAGACAAGAAAACATGGAAGTTCAAACGTTGAAGGATTCCGTAGAAGCAATATTGATGCAGCATAAAGATTTCCCATACGCAGGTAAGCTAATGCTGACTGCTATAATGCTAGGTAGTATAAAGGATGATGTCAAAGATGGGGAGGGCCCTTCACCAATGGAATCACACATTTCTCATGGTGCACACTGATTAATCATGATGAGATTCTATCTGGGTGACTCACTCACATGTAAATACTTTCTCCCTTGGTGTATTGACCAAACGGAACCGTTTGATACATGATGGCAATTTCACTACATAAATTTTGTTTATTCATTGAAAAAAATAAGAATGAGAGGACAGAAACTTGTTTACGCCACCTATGAAGGATTTAATTGGGTAGACTTGCAAAGTCTACTCTGCTACCTCACCACGACTCTCATGTTATTCCATACACATTTTGATGTATATTATCACTCCACGCGGTCCGGTCCGGTTATACCATATTTTTATCACTTCACGCGGACGTTTACATTCAGTATGGAAACATTGACACAATGGTTTCTCCAAGCTAGCATTTATTTTCATTTTAAAATCTTTTGCTATGAAGAGATTAAACCCATAATTTTTCTTGCATATCTAATTTTATTTTAAGACGTACAAATTAAATTATCGTTATTTTCATTGCTATAAATTCCCGCTACCCTTCGAGCCCTTTACGCTGTAATTTCAGGTCCGCCGCAGAGTCCCTATAGTCTCCATTCTCATCTATCCTTTTTTTCAACAATTTTTCTTTTTTAGCTGAAAGTGAGAGTTGCAATTCATAGCCAAACAGTTTATTCTTTTCCTGTCGATCCTCTATTAACTGAAATGTGTATCCAAAATCATGCAAGTTTCATGACATAAGCTTCTAATTGTGATTTGTGAGTCTCTAGCTAGCTTTTTTCTGGAGTTAGTGTTCTTTGATCCTTCCTCCAACTAGAAAATATCCAGAGAACATGTTTAACAACGATCAAGGTTGTGATAGAGATGGCGATACTGTTGGTGCTTTCATCCACAGCAATACTTCCTCGTCTCTAAAATATGCCAGTCTCTGGCGTCGAACCATTACTGTTACCGTTTTGATCTCTCTCAATAGAACCAACTCCCCTGAACAAGATCCACTACACTCACCAACATCTTCTTCACCTCTTATTACTCATCAGACCAACTCAAATTCTTCGCTCCAAGAAGACTCCAACACCAACAACTCGGGTCATGAAAATGGCGTAGTAGACTTGGTCTTAAAAGCCTACAATAGTCTTTCCAAAAGATCTTTCAAGAATCAAGATGGTTCAGCTTCAACCTCATCTTATGCTCCTGTGCCAGCATCGCCTGCAGCTGACCAAGGACTGAGGAGAAACTTGTCCACTCAATCCAGGCATGCCATTGACATTCCATCTGATAATGAGTTGGAAGAAAAAAGTGAACAGGAGAAACTTGTTGACCATGTTGTTAGGATTGTAAAAGAAAGGAACCTCAACTCACTCAAGGCATTCGGCGGTGTGCAAGAAGTCGCTTCTGTCTTTGGTTCTCACTTGGAGAACGGAAAGGATGATGTTCAAGCACCAGAGCTATGGGACACCAACAACCCCATTCATGCAAAAGGTTTCCTCTACTTCTTATTAGAGGCTAGCATCCGTTTAACCAATCTTCTCCTATTAGTATCAGCCGCGTTATCGTTCACCACTGGTATAATGAAGCAAGGAGCCAAGTATGGGTGGCATGATGGGGTTGCTATACTTGCTGCAGTTTCTATGCTAGTCACTTTCCCATCAGTGGCTAACTTTCGCCAAGCAAGAAAGCTAGAGAAATTGCGGAAGGAGAAAAACAAATTGGAAGTAGAAGTTGTAAGAGGTGGAAAGAGGCAATTCATTACGGTATCCAATCTTGTAGCAGGTGATATTATGCATTTGAAGGAGGGGGATCAAGTTTCGGCTGATGGTTTGATTGTGAGAGGTAATGGGTTAGTGTTGGATGATGTACTAAACCCTAATATTGATGGTGACCATAACCCTTTCCTCTTCTATGGCTCAAGGGTAAAGCAGGGGGATGGTGTCATGCTTGTGACATCTGTTAATTACCATAGGACACTAGATAAGTTGATGCGCTTGGTGAAACCTAAACCTGCTGAGAAGTCGTTGCTTGAAGCTCAGACAGAAAAGCCAAATACTTTTATGGAGAATCTTTCCCTTATTGTCTCTGTACTTATTGCTCTTGTGGCACTTATACGCTTGTTCCACGGGAAAAATGATGGAGGAGACGATGGACTTCCTGAACTGAAAGGCAACGTTACAGTGGGCATGCTGATGAAGATGTTTGAGAAAATTTTTTTAGTACCTCAAGGAAAGATTAGCATTCTCGCAAGTGCTCTTGCTGTGGCAGTTATAGCAATACAGCACGGCATGCCTTTTGCGATTACATTTTCCCTCTCTTGTTGGAATGAAAAGCTGGAGAGAATTCAGGTAAAACCTCAGAATTTATCAGCATGTGCCACAATGGGGATGGTCACAGTTATATGCATTGACGCAACTGGTGGGCTAGTTTGTAATGAGATGGAGGTGAGCAAATTTTGGATTGGTGAAAATGATTTGAACAATGATTTGGACTATGAGATTGACCAAGCTGTTGTTGAATCTCTAAAGCGAGGAATTGGTGCATCTGTTCTTTTGCCTGAGACTTCAGTTAGTCCAACCAATGACTTATTTGTTTCTTGGGCAAAGTTAAGATGGAATTCTGATGTGGAGTTTCGGGATCGAAATATTTCCCTCCTTCAATATAAAGTATTGAGCTCTAGCAAGAAAGGTTGTGGGATGTTGTTGCAGAATAATGGTGATGAAGAAAAAAGTCTTCATATGCACTGGACCGGAGCTGCAGCAACAATACTGGATATGTGCTCACACTACTATGATAGTAAGGGGAACAGTCATACAATTAGTGATGGAAAAAGTAAATTTCAGAATGTGATTAAAGATATGGAAGATAGTGGTCTTAGGCCTATTGCATTTGCTTGCAGGCAAACAGAGGTTGCAGAAATAAAAGATGACGGTCTGCATTTGTTGGCATTATTTGGTCTGAAATCTCCATGTCCGGAAGAGATTAAGTTGGTAATAAAAGATCTTAGAATGGCTGGTGTAAGGATTATATTGGTGTCAGAGGATGAACTCTCAGCAGTAAGAGCCATAGGTTGTGAACTTGGAATCTTTAGGCCTGTGGCAAATGATGTGGCACTTGCTCTGAATCCCTCTCGAAGGATTGAAAAAATAGATGATCGAACAACTGTGTTGGGAAGTTGCCTTCCTGAGCACAAACTTTTCGTGGTTCAGTCTATGCAACAAACAGGTCAAATAGTTGCATTCTTGGGAGGTTCATCAAGCAATGACACTCCAGCTTTAAAACAAGCCGATATAGGGATCACTGAGGATACTAAGGGCACTACATTGGCCACAGAGAGTGCCGATATTGTAATTAAAGGTAAAAGTTCATTACATCTAGCTTTGGAGTTTGGTAGATGTGCTTACCACAACATTCAAAAGTTCAGTCAACTTCAGCTGACTGTCTGCATTTCTGGCTTACTGATAACCTTGGTCACGACAATGAGTACGGGAGAATCTCCAATCTCAACACTTCAGTTGATTTGGGTGAATGGTATAGTGTGTCTTCTAGGTAGTCTAATGATGGTGATGGAGTTACAGTGCCAGGAACTACTCACCAATCCACCAGGTCAGAGGACCCAGCCACTCCTTACCAAAGCCGCGTGGAAAAACATAGTAATTCAAGTTCTATGCCAGGCTTTGGTTCTGCTGATCTTTCAATTTATGGGGCAAGATATACCCAGCCAGAACAAAGATACTCTGAAAGCTAGGATCTTCAATAGTTTCACTCTATGCCAGGTTTTCAACCAGTTGAATGCCATGGACCTGGTGAAGAAGGAGGTGCAAGCAGTTGTCCGAAGAAACTATAAGTTTTTGGTGGCTTTGGGGATTGTTCTAGTTATGCAAGTGCTTGTGGTTAAATTTCTGAAAAGTCTAGCTGGTTGTGAGGTGTTGAATGGTGTGGAATGGGGCGTCTGTTTCATTCTAGCTGCACTACCATGGGGCCTTCATTGTGCTGTAAACTTCATTTTACATTCCCTCTTAAACTGGTCATCCAGGTCAGGGTTTCCAAGTAGGCAGAATTGGCAAAACTTATTGTGGTTGATCATTCCCTTTCCAATGTTCGTCTTTAACATATCATTCGAACTCCGATGTTACCCAAACTTATTTGTCAGGTATTGCTGATTAGAAGTATCAAGACAGTGTTGTAATTATTTGTAAATAAAGCAGTGTAATCTTTTGTAGTGGGCCACTTCTTTAGTATCACTTTAGAAGTACTGTAACATGTAACTGGAAAGTTTGCGCTTCCTATCTTGGTGTAGGAGAGCGGTGAGGTCTCTGCCACTTACCAAGTTATGAATAAACTGCATTCATTTTGGGAATTCAATGATGGTGCTTCTTTTCCCATTTTCAAAATTTATCAGTATTGAATGTCTGGATTCTTAAAAGAGTTAAAATGGGAATGGGATGGTACTGCCATAACATGCACAGCAATAATTGCTAACTAATAATGTCAATCCTGGATGATTTGATATGTTTGTTGATGCATATATACTGCCCTCTCAACAAATCTGCTCCCTTTATTTGTTAAGGGCTTGAATTAAAAAACACAACATTATATCTTTCCCTTTCCAATTACATTCTATTACTTACACATTAATAAAATATTTATTTGGATTTATAACCATTTCTTTATTCTTTTTAATAATTTGTTATTTTCTCGTCATTTAATTTTATAAATTTAAAATATCGGTTAAATGGTTAATCCAATGCAATCTAATGATATAAATTTTTGCAAGTCTTCTGTAATTAAAATAAAAAGTAAAACTCTTAAAGCAAATACAGACTATGGTGCTTATCGCCTTACGCGGTGTCTTCCACTTTCCAGGCTACTTTTGCATCGCAGTTTCAACGCTCAATGTTTCGGCCTTTCCTCCAGTCGTCTCCTCCTGGTCTTTCTTAGAAACTATTCTGAAGTTTCATTGTTCATTAATATGTGTCTCTTAATGCCAATAGTTTTTTAAGTAAATTTCTTAGTAGCGATGTTGGAGAGTTTTATGGATAATACTATACTCACAAACTTTTTCCATTAATTTTTTCTTACAAATACGATATAGTAATTCATAATTGGTCAGCTCGCAATGAGTCTCGTCAATCCAATAATGGGTCATGTCTAACCAATTGTGAACTACCATGTTACGTTTATGAGAAAAAATTAGTGAGAAGAGTTTGTCGGCTTATCTTTATTATTTATAATTTGCATTTTACCTAGGTGAATTGAGTAGTATTTTAAATTTTGCTAAAAAATAGACAGACCATTAATAAATTTAAGACATTTTTTTAAGTGTAGAGCGATTTACATTGAGATAGATTACCTTGATGATTAATGAAAGATGTTATATTAATATGTTTGATTAGATTGGTGAGTATAAATAATTAATATGTTTAGTTGGGAGGAGTAAAATATTATTGAAGTGGTTTTTACTGAATTGCCCTTCCTTTTTAATAATAATAATAATAATAATAATAATAATTATTATTATTATTATTATTATTATTATTATTATTATTACGTGTTACTTTTAATCCTCTATATTTGATAATTTAGCTAAATCACCCTAACAACAAAAGTTTAAAATTTAACAAAATACCCTTAGCCACCCAAGACGACTGCCAATTATTGGCAGTCGCTGAAACGACACACAATCGATCAGATCTGGTCAGCCATGCACCAATTTGGCTGTTTTTGTCCCAGATCGAAGGCCAGAAAGGGTCACACGGTCATGGATCTAGCTGAAAATGGCCAAAATAGATTTGGCCGTTGTTGGCTTGATCCACAACTGTAAACAATCATAGATCTAGTCGTTTTTGGCCTTTGATCTGGTCAGAAACAGCCAGATCGATGCACAGCTAGCCAGATCTGACAGGTCGTGCATCGTTCCTACGATTGCTTGTGGCCAGCAGTCGTCTTGGGTGACTGGGAGTATTTAAGGTATTATTCATGTAAATAGTGAGGGTAATTTTGTCCAAAAAAATAATTTATGAGGTTACAAAAGTCATTTTGCACATTTGGGCTAATTGTTATTTAGTAGACATATAAGGGCATTTGTGTCCAAAATGTTTATTAATTATGGGTAAAATTCGTATGAATAGTGGATTACCTCGGTAATAAAAAAATAATACCATTTTAGACAGTAATTGAATTTATCCTATATTACATACAATAATCACTATAGGAGTGTTTGGATCATATAATATTTTATTATAAGGGAATGTTATATTAACGGAAAGATAGATCACCTTGAAGATTACTGGGAATGTTTAGAAAATGTGTCTGGTTGGTTCGAATAAATTGGTAAATGATATGTTTGGTTGGGAGGATAAATGGGTAGATATGTTATATAGATTACTAAATTACCCTCTGATACGTTTACAAGTCCTAAAACACTTGTAAACATGAGTGGACAAGGAATTATGAGTCTAAAAACACTTTTTAATTCGATTGAATTGAAGAAATTCACTCCAAGTCCTAAAACACTTGGTTTGTGGAATGTGAAAAGCAATGGAGGCTATTCAGCCCAAGCAAGTTCCAAGGAATGAGATAATCTAAACATTTGGGCCTAAGCCACTCCAAGTCCAAGCACAACAAGGGAAGCTCAAGTCCACCAAGAAAGAAGTCCAAGTATTGAAAATGCTCAATTCGGCCCAAGTTGTATTCCAAATGGGAAGATCCACATGATCCCTTATTGGATCCATTTACATGATTCTCAAGGCTCAAATTCTTACACCCTTATTAGTAGATTTAATTAGGATCATTGATTAATTTTGATCTAATGGAAGTAAACTTGGACAACTAAGGGGGTGGTTAAAGACATAGATCCTAGAATTAGGGAATTATGTCTCTTTTACATTAAATAGGCATGACCTTGCTTTTTGAATGAATAGCCTGTAATATTTAGCTAATTTTATTTCATTTTCTTGTGTTTGTAAATACTTGTTTATCCTTGTATTTGCCTATACAAGGACAACCTTTCCATTGTAACATTTAGTTTTTAGAAATATATGAAATTGGTTTATCCATTTGAGAGAAATTTTGTGTTCTTGATTATGCATTCTTTATCCAAGTCTTGGCAAGGAGATTTGGTAGTGAATCAATTCAAGTTGGTGGAGCAATTTCTTTAGGCTTGAAGTGTTTCTACTTGTCTTGGTCCGAATTTACAAGTGTGAGTTTGTTCTTGTTTTGTGTTTGGCCGAATTTCTACTTGGTTTTAGGGTATGTTTTGTTGTTGAATTGGTTGGATATGGATCACCCTCCTTTTTAAATATTAATATAATATTATTATTTTAATAATTCTTTTAACCCCCTACATTTGATATTTTGCTAAAACACCTCAATCATATAAAACTTTAATTTGTAGCAAAATCACCCTCACCCACCCCAAGCCAGTGCTAGCAACCAGCCACCAGTGCCAGTCGCCGTTGATAGTCGATTGAATGGTGCACAACTGGCCGTATATGGTCGGCCGTGCGCAAGCAAAGCCATTTTTTACTATGGATCACAAATCTATGGCCGTTTCATGGCTAGATCTGTCAAAATTCATGCTTAAAAAGAGTAAAATTGGTGTAAAACATGGTACAAGGTCATATGACATGTTATTGAAACTAAAAGGTGAAATTGTTACCTTTTATGCCTTATAACTTTTGTAACTTGAAAATGAGTTCAAGATCTTCAACAAATTTAATGAAAATCCTTAAAGTAAAGTCCACCCCAAGATGAAAAAAAGAGAGCCCGCCATGAGAGCTCAAGAAAGAGATTTTCAATAAAAAATGAAAATTAGATTAAATTTGGGAATATCACTTATTTATATGCAAGGACCATTTTGCAATAATTTGAAATTGTTCTCAAGTCCTTGAATTAATATGAATCCTATGTTAACAATTAATACAAATTCAATATTGTTTTCAAGTCTTTGAACTAATTTCAATTTAATATTAGCTTTTAATATTAAATCATTATTGATCCTAAGTCCTTGAAACAATTTCAATTTAATATTAACTCCTTAGTATTAAATCCTTGATTTAAACAAATTTATAATCAAGGCATATAAAATAATATCATTTAATATTTGACTCATTACTAAATTCAATTCAATAATATATTTTAGTCCATAATTGAATCTAATCCAATAATTAACAAATTAACTTATTACCCTGGGTAAGTGCAAGCTTCTCATGAGTAATCATTTCTCTCCAATACATAAATTTGGATACACACGTTTACATCTGAATATCGTTAACCTTTAACGATACGTATTACTCTCTTCTCATTCTTGGTTTTTAGGTGTGACCACTTTGGTTCACTACAACCTAGCCGTGGGCCCAATATCGCAATCCGATATGTTTCGTCATAACTCTTTGTAATCAAAACTCCAACTGATCATGGTAGGCATCTAGCAATGCTTCATAACCCCTAAGCCACAATGGAGTTAAACTCCAAAGAACCTTCTTTTTTCCCAATCGTACATTTTATATAATAAAATCCCTGCGTCGTTTAATCCCGATTAAGTATAGGTTCATGGTATGTCAAAACTCTTAACTTAATTTTTATCCGAATTGTCAATCAACACAATGGAACATGTCATCATGAAAATCTTTTTCATATGATTATTTTGTACTCTAGCCAGAGATTTCCTTTTTCCAATATTTATTAACATTCGTTTGGGAACTTGGGACCAAACTATTTCGAGTCAACAGATCCCATCTTGACCATCACTTGTCCTCGCACATGAATAAAATATGATCAAACCGGCTTCTTACACAAAACATGACTAGTCTTGTGTATATACACCATACGAATCATGTGCATCCTATGTCGAGTCCATGTCAGATCTAAGGATTAGTAGTACACTAGTATGATCCTACCACGTATCATTGACCACATTCTAAATGTCCATGTGATTTATCATAATCAGTTATATTCGATAAACAGTCCATTAATTGTTTGTTCATGCTAATGCCCTAGTGACATAACTCTTATAATCACCTACACTAATATCATCACATGATATTCAATAGAGGTATTCAACATGCCTACTATGCAATGTTACTGCCCAATTAACATTACTTACGTAGGGAATGCTTTGATGATTTGATCTTCTGAAGATCCGTATCATCCGGACATTTTACATGCATTATAAATAGTATAAATGAAGCAGTAAACAACATGTGAAATCAGAACTCTTTCTTCCATTCTCAAAAGAGTATTTACAAGATATACTATCTTGAAACTGAAAACACGATTGATTCCTAGGGCATACACTAACAAGATCCATGGCCATTTCACGGCCAAAGATGTGGCCATGAAAAGGCCAGATATGTGGCCATGATCTTTGGCCGTGAAACGCCATGAAAACAGCCAAATCTAGTCGTTTCTGGCCTGCTGTAATAGGCCTTACCGGCGCACGACTGTCCAGATCCCGTCGGTCATGCACCATTACAACGATTGACGTTGGCGGCCAATAGTGGTGAGTAATGGCCGGTGGAGGCCTTG